AGAGGGACAGGTTGGGGCAAATTCCTACCCAGTGCTGCCTCACCCAGCCCCGTGGAGATGTTCCCTGCCCTGGGAGGCACCAAACTTTCTGGAGATGCCTCCAAAGCCCCTTGGGGAGTTGGTTCATACAGGCAGAGGTTTGTGCAGGGCTTGGTGGCTTCTGTACTGGACACGCAATGCCCAGGGCAAATCATCTCCCCAGCATCCGCAGCCAACTCACCGCAATGCACTTCTCAAAGGCTGTGATCTTGTCATGCGCCACCTCCTCCCGGATGGCCACATACATGTAGGGCACATAGCTGAGGAAATAGATGATGCCGCCGCAGGCAGAGGCCAGCTTGGCCTTGGAGTAGAGCACGGATACCAGGAAGCTGCAGGGAGGACAGCATCACTTTGGGTCCTACCCTATCAGTGCTTTCCCCACATCGTCTGATTTTGGCAGCATTGAGGTGATAAATCAGCCCCATGGCACAAGGACCCCAGCACTGCCCCCACGCCCCCTCACCCCACAGAGCGGACCAAGCACTCACCAGAACATGATAGTGGCCACTGCGTAGATGGCAAGAAAGAGCCAGATGATGAGGACATCGCTGTGCATCAGGACCTTGCCATACTTCAGGATGGCCGTGAGTGCCGTGACCGAGATGGAAAGCTGGACAAAGCCAGTGATGAACCAAGCCACCCAATGCACCGCATTGTTCAAACCCATCATCTTCATCACCTGCAGGGCCAAAACTGCTCAGTGGTGCTGTCCCCTACCCTGCACACCCCAGCTGCCTCACTCGGGCTGGGAGGAACAGGCAGCACTGAGGGGTCCCTAGGAGCTGGGGAGCAGGCAGGACACAACACCCTGTGCCAGGGTGCAAATGGGCTCAGCTCCCTCCAGCGCTGGCAGGGCTCATGCTGGGAACACTTGGAAGGACCAGCTCAGCCCAGGGATGTGGGATCTGCACCTGCCCCATCTCACACACCCTAGAGCATGGAGAAGGTGCCCAAGGACACAGCACAGAATGTAGCGCTCAGAGATGCCAGCTCCTCCTCAGGGATCTCTCTCACCATCCCTACCTCTTTCAGGCGATGTTCCTTCTCTGTCACAATGTGCTGGATCATCATGGCCACTGAGTAGACCCAGGAGATCACCATGCACAAGGGCATCATATGCTCAATGACAAAGAGGAAGCTGGTGGGGTAGAGAGAGGAGAGCTGGATGGTGGCACCACAGAGACCTGCGGAGACCCTAGGGCACAGGGCAGAAGAGAGGCTCTCCCACCGCCTGGGGACAACCAGCCCTCCAGTCCAGAAGCTCCTCAGTACCCTGAAAGTGCTTCTCCAATGAGTCGACAGGACAATCTAGTGTCTGTCTCTCAGGTCCTGGCAGGCAGCAGCCGAGTGCCCTGCATACCCTGGTGTAGAGAAGGCACTATCCACCCTCCTGCCCTGCAATGTTTGTGCCTCTGGGACTTCTCCAGGTGCTTTCTCCAGACCACTGTGTTCAATCGCTTCCAACAGATCCATCTGCCATCCATTTACAACACTCCTCTTGTTCTCCCAAGTCCTTCAGCCTCCAAGACACCCCACAGCAATGAGTTCCTCACTTCACCTGCTAACTGGGCGCAAAATCCTGTCCCCGCTTGCCTAGCCTGGTGGTCCAAGGACCAGTGTTTAACTGATTACTCATCATTCCCAACGTCACCAACCTCCCTCAGGCCCCCAGACTTGTCCCTTTCTCTCAGCTGAGGTGTTCTGGCCTGCAAAGGGGAAGAGGGAAGGTCCTGCCCCTGCCCGCATGGCTGTTACTCACTCATCCCGGGTGTAACATGGGTATGGGAACATCTGCACATAGTTGCCAGGCTCCACCACGTCGTGGCCAACAAATGTGTTGATGATGGCACGCTCCATCATGTCTGGGAGGAGAAGCAGAGGTCAAGCTGAGTGAGCAGCATGGGCAGGGGCTGCAGGCAGCCGTGGCAGGGAGCTG